TTTCATTTAATATGGTATATTCCCATTTTTCCTAATGAAAATAAATTATTTGAAAAGGCAGGGGAAAGCCTATTCTACTGGATCTTGACATGTTTCATTCTTCCATATAGCAGGACGTATGCTATCCAGAGCACTATTTAAAAAAACACTAAGGCTGTGTGGAGTTTCAGATTCAGTGTAGAAGAGGCTTTTCAGAATAGGTGAGGATATAAATATGGCATCCGTCTACTAAAGCAGCTATGTAATTATTTTTACAAAAACATGCAGCTGCTTTAATGAAGCACAGATAGTGCTATATTAATGATGATTCCTGCTTCCGTGTGTTCCAAATTAAATCTGAGTCACTATACATTCTAAATATGTTAAATGCGCCATCAAGACATTTAACACATCCTTTTTGTTTAGCTTGCTTTTGGAACATAATTTAGTAAAGACATTCCTATTGTTAAAAATTGTCAAAAAATATATAGTAGCCACAACATCAATCTTTCCCAGAATTTGAATGATTCCCCCACACCCAGCATAAGTTTTTTTTTTTCACCCCATGAAAAAATACACATAGCTGGATTGATGGAACCTCACCCATTTGATGAAAGGAGTTGCTTATGTCACTTTATCTGGACTAGAAGACCTCTAAGGTCCCTTCCAACTCTGTTATTCTATTATCTGTTTTCAAGGTCATTTAAAAGAAAACAGAGAACCAAAATTGGAGCATCCATGCTAGAAAATGCATGTCCTATCTAAAAAAAAAACCTTCTCCCTCAACTCCAAAAGTTTTCAACATGAACTCTATTCAGCTACATCAACATATGTATAAATGCACATATAGTAATCAATGTTTATTTCCTTCAATAAATAGTTGTTACTGAAAAGTATTTATGAAAAATGTTAGTACACATATACATTTGATAGCTGCAATGTCACATCCTTATTATAGATATCGAGCGTTCACCAGTTAATCTGAAACCTTCACCCCAGGCAGAAAACCAAAAACTTGACACACGGACAAAACAAAGAGAAAAATAAAAATAAATTTTCTTTTGAAGAAAAAAAATTCGCAGAGGTTTCCCAAGGGACCAGCGTATCCAACACATTTCTATTACAAGCAGAAAGAACTACTGTGAGTTTTGAGATTTTTTAAAAAAGGTGTAAAACCTTTTTCTATCATCATGTGGACATATTTAAACCTGCCTTCCCTAATCCAGTAGCGTTTCATGGACTGGGAACTATGGGAATTTTCCCAATATCTTTAGATGGCCCCAAGTTAGGGAAGGCTGCATTAAATCACAGACATACACATATGTATGTATGAATGTATGTATGTATATATATGTATGTATGCATATATGTATATATACATTTACATCAGTGGTTCCCAAACTTGGCAACTTTAAGACTTGTGGACTTCAACTCCCAGAATTCTGGGAGTTGAAGTCCACAAGTCTTAAAGTTGCCAAGTTTGAGAACCACTGATTTACATAATGCACTTAAACATAAAATACTTTTTGACTATCATCATACTCTTATTCACTTTACCCACAACCATTCAGTAAATATAAGGGATGTAAATTTACAAAATTCATCTGAATAGATGATGCTTCAATCTTCTGAAGTCAATGAGAACCTCAACATAGAAGTAAATCAAATCATAGATTTAGCAACATTTAAAAAGGGGTATACAGTTATATTA